AAAAAAAAAAAATTCGAACGAGCGTTGTTAAAGAGTCGTAAAGAGAATTCAAGTATCAATTTCAGGTGCTGCACGAACATTTTCATCGATCGATTCACGTTGCATTTCTCATCAAACCTGAAAATTTCTGGCAGAAGCAACGAACGTCGTTGGCTAAACAAAAGAAATACAACTTTGAAGTAAGTTGAGAACGTAAGAGAGAAGAGAAGAGAAGAGAAGAGAAGGGAATTTGCCGTGAAAGAAACGCGAAACTTTCGTCTCTTTTCGTGTTTTTCGTCTTTCAGATAAATACGATAAGCTTGGAAGCGTTGACAAAGGTGATCGATCCGTCGCAGTTGACGGCGGATTTAGACGGATCGCTGCAGTACGATCACGCGCAATGGATCGACACGAGGCTGGCGGTGGAGGACTTCACGTGGCAGGCGGCCGATCTTCTCGACAGGTTGGACGACCTGCAGGAAGATCTGAGCCGAAACGACTTTGCGGACGACGTGAGCGGAGCGAAACACGGGATCGATCAGCACAACGAAATGAAGAAGAAGATCGTGAAAGTTCCGGTGGAAGAGATCGACGTTGTTGGCCAGCGGCTGTTGCAACGTTTCGACGGTAGTAATTAGCTGCTGCGTGTCTGTGACTTTGTCGCTGTCTCGACTTCTCTCCGCGTGAGTCGATCGTAATGATAATAATAATAATTCTGGTCGATGTGTGTGTGTGTGTGGCGACGCAGGTCTGGCGGTGGCGACGAGCAGCGGCGAGGGCGGCGGTAGTAGCGCGGAGAGCAGCTGCGGGGCGGGGGCAGCCGGTGGCGCGGACCCCGACGGACGAGCTCTGGCGCAACTGGTGATTCAACATTTGGATTCCGTGCACGCGGCGCAGCAACATCTCTTGCAGTTGTGGCACATCAAAAAGATGAAGTTGGACCAGTGTTTTCAATTGAGACTGTTCGAACAAGATTGCGAGAAAATGTTCGATTGGATTTGTCGCAACAGGGAGGGATTCCTGGCGAATTACGTCGAGATTGGACGTTCCTACCAACTGGCGAAAAACTTGCAGGAAGAGCACAAGCATTTCACCATGAGCTCCATGAACGTTTACGTGAACATAAACAAGATCTTAACGATGGCCAGCCGTTTGCTGGAGACTCAACATTACGCAGCGGGACACGTTAGAGCGGTAGCCGGCCGATTGGATCGAGCGTGGAAAGAATTCGCGGCAGGATTGGACGAACGTACCGCCGTCTTGAGTTTGAGCGTTGTGTTCCATCACAAGGCGGAGCAGTACGTCGACAGCGTTGCAGGATGGAGTCAAGCTTGCGACGCTGGAAATCTACCGAACGAAATACCAATCTTGGAATCTCACATACGACAACACCAAACTCTTTACGAAGCCATGTGTCAAGCTTACACGGAGGTAATATTTCCTTCTCTCGTACCTTTTCCCTATAGAGATAACATTTCGTTTCGTCGTCGTCGTCGTCGTCGTCGTCGTCGTCGTCGTTTCATGTAAATTTATGACGTTCGTTTTATCCTTTCCACGTTGCGACACGCAAA